AGTGCTTGAGAAATAAAAAGTTACATTTGTTTAGAAACTGTTCTTAGTGTTCACTCCGTATCTTTGTGTATCCTTGTGTATCCTTGTAATAACATGCTTGCAGTGGGATCACATGCAACAAATACTATTTTCTGATTGGCTGGTAGGTGGCTATTAACTCTGTCTAACTTGATCGGGACAGTTATGAACTCGGTGGAAAACCCCACTCCGTATGCCTGCACCTCATCCATTAATTCTATATAACGGGACACCTTGGTGGGCGTTATCTCTTGTGTGAACTGGTTGGAATGTGTGTCTCTTACAGTCAATGCGTGAGACTTGAGAGCCCAGATTTTACTTGTACGACCCGCAACATGTTCGTAATTCATAAATAAATCTGGCCAGCAGATCAGTCTTTCTTTCATTTTCCACCGAATGAAAAATGACGTCACATTATTCTGGTGCACTGGCATGTTTCACCCCCGGCAACAGCTGGAGACGTAGGGAAAAGGTTTTTAATCTTAAGAAATTAATACCATCTACTCTCGTGTTTTTTCTGTACTTCTGCATAACTTTGTTTGTGGTCAAGCAATCAGCAATTAATCACTGTTGGGATTTCCACAGTAGTGCCTCTGAGGATCTGCAATTGGACTGAGTTTGATGATCTATCTCACACAGTGTGGGAGCATATTTGCAAGTTGCATTGGTGCACTTAGACAATTTAGTCGCACTGTCTCCAAAAATAGTCTCAAAATGCGGCTATATGGTCGCAATCTGGAACCCTTTTGATTTCTTAGGTATTTTTCGCACCGCACATGCTTGTGAAACGTTACGTTAGACAGCCAATCACCAGCGACTGTAGATCTATACACAAGTATGCTGCATGCTTATTAGCTCACAGACGCTGAGATTTACTGTTTCGCTATCGGAATTTGGCACTGAAAGAAAATTAGTTTTTTCAATCCTCGATATGATTGGAGTTGATTCAGTTGGTACCACAATAGTACCAAAGTTTTGTACCCAACCCTAGTTTTTTCTTTACTTAGTTTATCGTTACTTTCTTAGTTTGTAGTTTTTTTGAATGGATATTTGTATAACCAGTCTAAAGAAAGCGTTTTTGCAAGTCCCACCCCAAAGTACCAAAAAAGTACCACAGTTACTTTGGTACATTGGGTACTGCAGCTTTTGGTACTGGTAATCGACTGGATGTCACTGGAAAAGGGAAAGTACTATATCTATAGTAAGAGAATCTGTATCAGAATCGGATCGGAACTGAAAAAAATGTGGATCAGCCCATCCCTAGTTGTTACTGAATAAAACAATGAAGCATACTTGTGTAAACCATGTTGACCGTGGATTTATTCCTGTAGAGTAGCAGCATAGCTTTCATTTGAACAACAATGACCATTATATTCTCCTATTCTTAATATACTCCAAACTATGCCGCGACATCACTAAATGCACATAGTTTGTCATGACGTTTGAAATGTATGAATACAAATATCTCATTTATTTCTTGGTAGTTGATAAAGGGAAAAAAAACAGTGGATTGGTTTTGGAACTGGCAGATACTACATTTTTAATATCGGTGTGGGGATCAGACCAGAAGAAAAGTATTGTGTCACCTTGACTTCTAATATTTGGTCAGTTGCCCATAGCCTGATTTTAAAGGACTGATATGTACGAGTCTGGGACGGTACGATCATGAATGAGCACTGTCAATTTAAATTTGGGTAGACTTTGGATTTTATAAAGCAAACGGGCACCTAGACATGAGTGGAAACATCTGCTTGGATTCATGGTTCGGTGTAGTTTTGATACTGCAAGAAATCAGAATTTGTTTTGAAATTATTTATTATTAAAACTGCAAACAATATAGGAACAGTTGTGAATCAAACATAAGACAATGCATTTGTTGATGTGTCTGAATAACAAAAGGTAAGAGACTCTTATTTGCACAATGTGGACATTCGGATGTCTCAAATGAGGTAGCACGTTGGATGTTTCTAGCAACAGTGTTAGAGCCAACAGACAGTCTTGGGTGTATCAACTTCACTCCAGTGTTCACGTAATATATTTGGAAACCAAAATATTCCCAAACTACTGACTTCAGTAACGTGGAAGAGTGTTTGACCTCTCTAGCAATAGCCATGACTAACTCACAGCCACAATTAGAATGTTTTCCATGTTGAACATCACCTTGTGAATTTCTGTTCCGCTCATGTCAGGAAATGTGTTCGTTAGTTTCGTTATACAGTATGTTCTGAAACCATGACGATGTAACTGAATGGCACACGATATCACAGCAAAACTATTAGAAAATCGTGCAACAAATATTGATTTGGAAGGTCTCACCCCTAGTAGCAACCACATGGTATAATCCCAACAGTGAAGTAGTGCCGACTTGGGACTGGTGTGAGGTTCTATATGGTAAATGAGCCAAATGAATGCCTATATACGGTAAACGTCTAATTGCCCAGTGCGATTATCTCCATTATTTCAGTTGCTGTGTCTTTTGCTCTGTTGCTGCTGTTTCCTAAAGTCTTAATATCAGAGGGCAAGATCGGCCCAAACTTGACACATTGGACTGATGCCATTGTCAGTAATGTTCCATTATTAGTAATCTGTTCACATGTACAAGCTTTGTTCTGTGGGTTTTGTCTTGAGCGGAGGGTCCACTGACTTTTGTAAATCTGGAATGTGTTATGGTGTTAGGCATCCTTGTTCGACTTTCAGGAAGGAGCCTGCTCGACCAGGCTCAAACGGCATGACATGCCAGTGAGTGGAGAGGAAATGGGAGGCCAGGCCAACTCTGGGCTGTCTCTGATAAAGTGGGTCTGGGATGTAGAGTCTTGACTGCCATCCCTTTTCAGGGGCATTTGGTGGGAGTGCCCAGTTTGCCAGTCTGCGCCTCACTGGACCAGAGCATAAACAGGATGCCGGTGACTTTGAGTGGACGGCAGTCCACTGCTTTTACAGATAAGGCCCTACAGTGATGTCACAGAATTAGTTTCCTCCTTGAGTGTCCATTTGGTTTGGGTACTTGGGTTTTTTTTCTGATACCAGTGCTAAAACAGTACTTTTAAAATGGTGCCGGTTTATGTTGCGTTTAAATCCTAGACCTGCAAATAAGCATAACTTTTATTGAATACCTCTTCCCTGAACCATAAGAACAGTTTCTGCACAAATTTATTTTTAAAACAATGTAAGATTCAATTTATCTCCTCAAGCACTGGTGCTCCGTGAGCTGGAAGTTGGTCTTATTCAGCTAAAACTTTGCTAATCTTAAGGGGGGAAACAGTTAAAAAATCTTAACATTAAAAAAATATATAAAACTTTATATCCATTTCTAATAATGTTCTGATAAAGATAACTACAAAAAATGTTTCGTTCTTGCTGGCAGGTGAAATATGCCTTTGTGTATATTTACATGCTGTATATTTACAAAGCGTCTACCTCATTATGTTGACATGTAAGGGTCCAGTGATTGAGACCCATTATCATTCTTTATTCAAGGTTTGCCCAATTTAGCTTGTTTTATAGATGCCACTAGATCATTTCCCGTTCACATTTTGTCGCTTGGGGACAAAGACTGGGGTAAAAAGAGGTCAGTATCACCAAACGTCTAATAGCTTTACTTTCTTTTACTGAGCCTGAGTAATCCTCACTCTTGGTGATAACGGGGGGGAATCGTGTTTTTATATGAGCACTGTTTACAAACACAGCACTTGGAAAATACAGACACTTACTGGGTTGTCAATTGTCATGCATCTGGCATGACTCTTACACTCAAGCAAGAAGTCTTACAACAAATCTATATTATTCCATTATAAATTTTAAGGTTAGCTACATCAAAAGCACTGGGGTAGCTTGCAAACCCTACAGACTATTTATACGGTAATGAAACTTGCATACATGTAAATGCGTGTGTAGACTTGTCTCGAATTGAAACTCTCATGCCTGACAAGCTGACCGGAGTTGGCAACCCTGACTTTACCGTGTTTGGATTGCAAGTGACTCTACTTTTTTAGACCTGACCATAAAACAAAACAATTTTTAAGTTGTTTTGCCATAAATTTGGTAGTAAATTGGGAAGTAGGCGTACGTGACATGTACTGGGAACAGCCTCTGCACTGAACCATATCACCTCAGGAGAGCTGTAAACGTGACGTTCAGGTCGCTAGCACCTTGAGGTATGTAGGGTTAATTAAATATATAAATATGAATAAATAGAAACGCTTAAGTTTGCATAATGTCCTCGTGTCGGAATCCTTTAGAGTGAAATACAGCCATACTTCCGACCGTTTAGCTTTAGCCATTTTAACCATGTGTAAGGTAGCTACTAGCTAACGATAGGCGTCTCCTCGCATCAGAGCAGGTCCAATGTCAGCTAGCGATGGTACGTGAGATGCAGTGATGCTTTGTTGCCAGAGCACCAGAGGGCAGTTTTTTTTCCCCTTGTCAACAGCTCAGGCATTTAAGTGACACTGAAATGAAGCACTGAAATCTGTGTTGCATTATGGTCTGGTGCATGCTGATCGTATTGGAACCATTGCCATGTTGCCACTGGGTGTCTGTACCCATCCCTATGCTCTTGTTATTTAAGAGTCACTGAATGTCGATTGCAGAGCCTGATAAATGCCCTGGTGTGGAGGACTGACTGCACAGAGGAAGGAGCTGTATCTACATAAGAGTGTTTTTCCTGTTTCCTCTTCAGTCTCTGAAACCGTTTGGTAACCATGGCAGCACAATCATTTGACCCACGCTGAGCGGATGCTCTTTGGTGTTGCAGAGCTTACTCTTACCATTCCTTCTCTTGCTGAAGATTCTGAACTATTCCTTGGGTTGTATCTCCTGCTTCGACCTCCCCTCCTAGGTGTTTTTAAATCTGTAAAGAAATGGTGCTTGTGTCAGTGTTTCAGGTACCTTGTGAATCTGTGGATGGTAAGGGTTAGGTCTCTGGAAGCCCCCTCTGTCTCGCACTGCCCTGTGTGAACTTGCTGCCCTGTATCTTCAGCACCATGGCGTCCGCGGTGACCTTGGAAGACGCCCTGTCCAACGTGGACCTGCTGGAAGAGCTGCCCCTGCCAGACCAGCAGCCATGCATCGAGCCGCTGCCATCCTCTCTCATGTACCAGGTACTCCCTCAGTAGGAAGCGGTGCTTCTTTCATGTAAGGGGTGCTTCACACCCACTGCTGTACACCTTCCTGTGTACTAACCACACAGATGGAAAACCACCCTCCACCCATGAGTTATACCCAGTGTATTTCAGAGTTCATGCTCTACAAAATGGCTAATGATGCCCTGTATGGCTTCTAATCACGTTCGGCTGGAGTTCGTTCCGCCTCTGCATTCGCATGTTTTGCATTTCTCTGCAGCCCAACTTCAACACCAACTTCGAGGACCGCAACGCCTTCGTCACTGGCATCGCGAGATACATCGAGCAGGCCACTGTCCACTCCAGCATGGTAAAGACCTCCTCGCCTGTTCTGTCCACTCCAGCATAGTAAAGACCTCCTCACCTGTTCTGTCCCACCTTTGTCTACTGCAGCAAGGAGCTGAAGCTTGCAAAGACTGATTGCCATGATTTACTTGATGCCGTTTGACCCAATCGGAAGCCCTGCACTCCAGAATTGAGCCTTGGATGCTAATAATAGAGTCGTTGTCTTCAATGGCGTTGTACAAACTGAGCTCTGGGGCACAGAGCCGTGGTGCGAGGCTTCTGCCAAAGGCCGACCTCCTGGTCTAGCCAGTGACAAGCCTCCGTTGTTGCTATTCATTGCCCTAAGACAGGGGAGCCCTGTGCCTCATTAAAGCAGGATTATTGCTGTGTAAAAGCCCATTGGGTCTGCATCAAATGGCACTTTATATGCAACAAGCATCGCTCCGGGCTCTGTGGAGTGCTGTGTGCTTCTCTGAGGGACTGCCTGCATCTCAGCACCCGTTCATAGCTGGGAGAGCAGCAGTGACCTTAGATCTGGGTGAAACCAGACCCAGGCTTTATTTGCTCATTCGGACAGGAAAAAAAACTTGCACAAGCGTACAATGAGGAGGCTTGTATTGAAGTTGGGGTGTGAAATGTTTTCTCAAACTTTTTCATTCTGATATTGTAGTGTTGATGCGGGAGCTCTTTGTACTGTATAAGATTAGGACCCCTATGGTGTGCTTGTCGGCGTTCAGGGGCCGTGCCTGTCCAGTTGTCCTGAGGTGTGTCCTCGTTTGTGTTTAGAATGAGATGCTTGAGCAGGGCCAGGAATATGCCATCATGCTGTACACCTGGCGGAGCTGCTCGCGGGCCATCCCCCAGGTGAAATGCAACGAGCAGCCCAACAGAGTGGAGATCTATGAGAAGACTGTGGAGGTCCTGGAGCCCGAAGTCACAAAACTCATGAACTTCATGTACTTCCAGGTAACTTCTGCCGGATGAGCTTATTATTGCACGTATGGACCAGCTGCTTTTCACTTACTGCCGTACTGGTTTATACAGCATATTTGATACTACAATATGCATGTAAATGATCTCTTGTGCTATCTGACAATCTCTCCCACCCCCCTTTTCCTAGCGCACCGCCATTGACCGCTTCTGTGGTGAGGTGCGGAGGCTGTGCCACGCCGAGCGCCGAAAAGACTTTGTGTCCGAGGCGTACCTGCTCACACTGGGCAAGTTCATCAACATGTTTGCCGTGCTGGACGAGCTGAAGAACATGAAGTGTAGCGTGAAGAACGACCACTCGGCTTATAAGAGGTGGGCGACAGACCTGGCCACCCGAGCGGGCAGCTGTCCTACCCAGCTGTGATCCTGTGGTGTTTCACAGTCTTCTCAGCTCAGTCCTCCTTGTGTTACCCTGACAAGTAATATAACCCTTGAAGATAATACTGGTATGATTCTGGAGGTGCCAAGAAGGATTCGGTTCCACTGTCCATCTGAAACTGTCTTATTTCAGTTCAGATTCTTATTAGTTTTTAAAATCTGATTATATTCCATTGATGACCTCCACTGCGCACTAAAACGCAGTTTTAGACAGGCCGCGGTCATATTAATTCTATGAATTGGAGGTTTCTTAGAGCATAGCTGAAACATTATTGTTTTTGTGCACATGGACACCAGGTGGCGCTATCAGAATGTTTCCCTCTTGTTAGTCAAATGCTTCTGGCTAAAGATGTATTTCCTCGTTCTCCTGAAAGTGGGTGATGAGTCATAAAAGGAATAAAATGAAAATCCTAGCTAAAAGTTTGACATTTATGAGTGGTTGTGTCTGAATAGATCCAACTTGAATCTCTCAGACCCTCTGGACAGGGTCCCGGAGGTAGATGTTAAGTGGGGGAGATGGAATTTTTGAGGGTTGGGTTGGAAGAAAGGCAGGGATGTGCTGGCTGTCAGATCAAGGGCGAGGCTGTTCTCCAGCAGCCTGTGAGCGAGGGGATCTTATCTTACATGTTGAGAGCTGAACAGACAGGGAATCAAAGCCTCATCACATCAACAAAGGTGTGTCTGTGTGTGTGTGTGTCTGTCTGTGTGTGTGTCTGTGTGTGTGTCTGTCTGTGTGTATGTGTCTGTCTGTGTGTGTCTATCTGTGTGTATGTGTCTGTCTGCGTGCGTGCGTGCATGTCTGTGTGTGTCTGTGTCTGTCTGTGTTTCTGTCTGTCTCATTGAGTTATTGATCAGACAGACAGATCGATGATTGGTTGATCAGGTCCTGGGAGGTAGGAAAAGCACTCCTGACTTTTTGGAATGTGTTTCTGCTAGCAGGAGGACTTCAGGTGACTTTTGATCAGTTGTTTTGAGCCCTGTGAGGTTGTGGGAGGTACCTCATCTGGTCAGGTCTCTGGTGAGGTTGTTGTCAGTGCCCTTAGCAAGGTCTTCGTCCTGCTCCCTCACTTCATGCAGTGTCCTTCAGGTTGTCATGATCATCTCACTCTTATTCTGTCATCCCAATGCTGTGCTCCAGGGCTGCTCAGTTCCTCAGGAAGATGTCTGAACCCCAGTCCATCCAGGAGTCCCAGAACCTGTCTATGTTCCTGGCCAACCACAACAAAATCACTCAGGTATGGTGCCGGCCCCTCATCCCTTCTAACACATAATTTATGACTCGTGTCCTTTTGCACCGGGTCCTGATCTGATGACCCTGGCTTTTCCAGTCTTTGCAGCAGCAGCTGGAGGTCATCAGTGGCTACGACGAACTCCTGGCAGACATCGTAAACCTGTGTGTGGACTATTATGAGAACAAGATGTATCTCACGCCCAACGAGAAGCACATGCTGCTCAAGGTAAGCCGAGCATCTCCCTCATTCGCTTTGTCTTTGGCTCCGTTAAGGTCCTTAAATTCGCTTTTGCATTAGTTTTTGTTTGGCATGAAAAAACGCAGCAGAATCCCTTGGACGTTTCTAGACATTTTCAGCTGCGTTTCACTCTGTCTGCCTTTTGAAGGTGAATCACAATCAGTCTTGTGGATGTTTGTCTAGGTGATGGGCTTTGGGCTGTACCTGATGGATGGAGCCAACAGCAACATCTACAAGCTGGATGCCAAGAAGAGGATCAACCTGGCAAAGATTGATAAGTTTTTCAAGGTGGGTCTGAGTAGTGTGTGAATTGAAGGTATAAATTTAACATCCAAAGTTGTTGGAAAAAGAAACGCTGTCACTTACTCATTAAAACGTGGTGCGTCAGGCAGCTCTACTTCTTTTTGTTTCCACAGCAACTCCAGGTCGTGCCGCTCTTCGGTGACATGCAAATCGAGCTGTCGAGGTATATAAAGACCAGCGCCCACTTCGAGGAGAACAAGTCCAGGTGAGGCCCCGTTGGCATCAAGACCCATGAACTGAGCATGACCTCTTGAGGAAGCTGAAAGGGGCATTTGTTTCCGCCCAGGTGGTCCTGCACCTCCACAGGCAGCAGCCCCCAGTACAACATCTGCGAGCAGATGATCCAGATCCGGGAGGACCACATGCGCTTCATTTCTGAGTTGGCACGCTACAGCAACAGCGAGGTGGTGGGGGGGGGGCTCCGGTGTCTGTCAGCCATGTCCGCTTCTGTTAGGCTGCATCCATGCTGCTGCGTTTCCATTTAAAAACAGATGTTTTTGCCTTTCAACCATGCTATCCCAAAATTTTCAGCCCCCTTCTGAAGGCACTCTCAGTGCCGTATACTTCTGAAAACTCCATTTTAGCGTTGCACTGTGAATGAACGTAAACACAGGCTTCATCCTGTTTGACACACCAAGTACACGGTCACACACTACCACACTTGGCGGGCACGTTCACATGCTTAGGTCGAGTATCCAAGGGTGTCCCGTTCCTCACATAAGCCAAGTGCAGTGTGCTTGACATGCACTTTATCCACACTTTTCCAAATACCACATGGAAGCGTCTTTGGCTAAGTATGCAGACCACAATGCACCCCATCAGTGGCGACTAATGTTTACATTGAACGTGAAGAAGTCTGTCGGTATATCAGAGTGCAACATGCCTCCAAAGAAGTTTCAGTTTAAGAAAGCAAAGTTGTATAATGAACGTTTACATAGCCCAGGCTATAGTGAAGGACAACCACAAGCAGCACCAATGATAATAGTTGCAGCGTGTTTCTTGTTCACCTCTTCAGATATCAAGTGTCCCATTGTTTCCAAGAAATGCCTGGGCAATTGACCTTCTTTATATACAGTTGCGCACTTTGCGTCTTACATCAACATATGTCACCAAAGTGTGTAATAAATCTCTTGCACTTAAGTGGGGTAAATGGATGAAGACGCAGTCTCCCAAAGCGCCCTCATTGGTCGCCGCTCATCTCATAGCCCTTCCCCGATTTGTTACCGCTACACCCTCTCACACTCTGATTGATCACCTGGTCACCCTACATGGAAGCAAACCGTATTCCAACATGGCGGATATGGTGGAGCTGCTTTCAGTGTTACTTTTCCAGATGCTAACTTGTACGCAGCTGAATAGCGTCTTACAGTGTTACTGTAGACTAATAGCTACGTAATGTATGTTTTTGCTTGTTTTCGTGTGGGTGACAGTACCTTTGTAAATGATGTGAGGTCGGCTATGTAAATTAGATTTTGTATTCATTCGCTATCGTAGCAATGTGGACACGGAGCTTTTTCACGGGTTGGGATTTTCATTATGATCCTTTAATTGATGACAGTGGCACTTTCAGCAGCAGTACTCCGGCTGAATTGAAAGAGGAGGGGATGGATGCCTTATGGCTGAACGGGCCCAGTCATGTGGAACTGACCCCTAAGTCAAAAGGTGGAATGCTGTGTTGAGTTTGAGGACGTGTTAAAAATGTTTTATCCTCATGGTGAGATGGGGCAGCTATGCTTAATGTGTTCCTTGTGCATCCATCATCAGAGCAGCGATTGGGTTTATGATTTTAATAGAGATAAGATTTGATAAACACTGTGAAGGAGCAAGAGAGATGGTTTCTCACACTCGTGCAATCTTGTAACGTGCTGTGACCTGTCTCTTATAAATGGTACAAGTTTGTTTTGCGTGGAAACACCCACACACAAGCTCCAGTACTTTTCACACTCGTTTCCCAAAACATATAACTCATTACTGCAAAAGCAGCCTTTTTTTTACTCTGAGGACTGTGGCATATGGCCTCGGGGTGAGCAGGTGCGCTTTGCCCCCGACAGGTGGTGACGGGGTCAGGCCGCCAGGAGGCCCAGAAGACAGACGCTGAGTACAGGAAGCTGTTTGACCTGGCCCTGCAGGGCCTCCAGCTCCTGTCACAGTGGAGTGCACACGTCATGGAAGTGGTGAGCGCTCGTGTCCTGCACTCGTGTCCTCCGCTCGACGCTCCGCCTTCAAGGACGGGAAGTGGGTGTTTTATAAACCTGAGGAGGTGCTTATTAATGGAAGGCTGCTCTTTCGCCACTTTGACCTCCACTCATACGTCTCAGTTTTACATCTCATACATTCTGTATTTCAAGCAGAGCTACATGTGCGGAGTAAATTTATAGATTAATCAATTAAACTACACATCTTTGCAATGGAGTTTTTATTGGAGAAGTCCCCGTTAATCCATCAGACGTTTAACTTTTTTTTTCCTTGGCCAACTTTAGAAGGTTAGTAGCTAATCTAATTTTAAATGATTTTAATTGTTGGTGTGCATTTAAACATCTTGCATAGTATTAGCTATCATATTGCTTATCCTATACCACACTTGTAGCAAAATGACATTGCTGAAATGGCTGTTCACTTCCTCTTTTTGGCCCTTGCGGTAACAATAGATGGGTCACTTAGGTGTGTGCATTCCCAGCCTATAAAAGATCATTCTGCAGCTGTCAGGGATGTCTGGGGGGCCGCTGTGGGCCATGTTAGATCCAGTTACAGTGGGAGAAAGGATAACTCTGTGGGACTGGGATCCAAATGGCCCTCAGACTCCCACACAAAGCACAGGACGTGCTGTGAACTGGCAGCGAATGAAGGACTTTTTAACTGGTGATATGAGAGATGACACGCTTTGCCTCCTCCCGCATCCTTGAGCTTCTGTTTCCTGGTGAAAAATGGGGAGCTTTGGCAAGCAAGGTTAAAATCAACCACAGCTTTGAAACATCACTGTTGACCCCCCCCCCCCCCCCCCATTCGCCAGACTCGGTTAGCTAAATCATTCTGCCGTTCACGGGTGAAACCAAGCACCAAGGAAAGTAAATCATAGAAATCGTTGTCATCCCGGCCTAAAAGCATCTGATAAATGTGTGTAAATATAGCGATGCACTTAGCTGACAGCCTAATGTGATGAGGCACCAGCATAACCTCAAGGGTTTCACAAGGTTAGTGCTTGTTAAGAATCTCCTTTGGCAGCTCTCCCTTTCTGGGGCAGTGCTGACCTTCGTGTGTCGTGAAGGAATGTCCATCTCGAAGTGCCTCCTTTCCTTTCCCATTTGCTGCTGAGTGTGTGTGCGGAGAAACCACCAAGCAGGATGGTTACATTTCTTTAGCCGGAAGAAAAAAATGAAAGCATGAAAAATATGATATATGGGTAATCTGCTGAACAGCTAGTGTTAAGACTTGCCTCCCAGGCAATTATGATTTAAGAAACATGTTGCGGCCTGTGTATAGTAGTGATTCACAAAGCTTACGGTCAAGCCCTAGCAGTGTACCAGCATTATGGTCATACGCTGATACCTTCACGTACCATGTGGGGAGTTAAAGAATAGCAAGGTGTGTTTTTAAGACTTAGGCTAGGAGGCTGAACTGAAAACCAAATCATACGTCTTTTGTTTTGCGTGTAGCCTAAAGCCTGAAAAACAGCCAATTTTGCGACTGTTGGTGAGAGTTGGCAAGAATTGGTGATTGCCTGTCAGGCCAGTGGCTGTGACATGCTTGGTCCCTATTGTCACTGTTTTGGCCAATTTTTAGCATGTTGAATTGGCACTGAATCTATTTTAGTCATACCAATGTGCTCCCACACAAATCTTCACAGTCAACTTCAGTCGATGGGAGCTAACTGCTTAGTGGTCTTGGTCAGCTCTCATTCTTTGTCGACTTGGTGTTTACCCAACTTACGCCTGCTTCACCGACAAGTCAGTAACTGACACCGGCACTCGGCTGTCTGATAGTCGATTACCGATGTCGCTCAGCCCTAACACTTAATGGTAGGATAGTAGAGTGTTTTGTGGGCAGAGAAGTGACTGAGGCTCACGTCTCCCCCTCACAGTACTCGTGGAAGCTGGTACACCCCACGGACAAGTACTCCAACAAGGAGTGCCCTGACAACGCAGAGGAATACGAGAGGGCTACTAGATACAACTATACCAGCGAAGAGAAGTTTGCTCTGGTGGAGGTGGGTGGAGCCTAATTCTTCCTGTATGTCATTGACAGCTGGAAATGATGACTGATCGCCCCCCCCCCCCACCAGGTGATGGCCATGATTAAGGGCCTGCAGGTGCTGATGGGCCGTATGGAGAGCGTGTTCAATCACGCCATCCGCCACACCATCTACTCCGCCCTGCAGGACTTTGCCCAGCTCACCCTGCGTGAGCCGCTGCGGCAGGCCATCAAGAAGAAGAAGAACGTTATCCAGAGGTGAGGGAGCCGGCCAGGTCCGAGTAACATCTGGCCCCCAGCCTCCCTTTGGCTGACGTTCCGGTTCTTTCCCACAGCGTTCTGCAGGCCATCCGTAAGACGATATGTGACTGGGAGACCGGCCGGGAGCCTTACAACGACCCCGCCCTCCGTGGAGAGAAGGACCCTAAGGGTGGCTTCGATATCAAAGTGCCTCGCCGGGCCGTGGGGCCCTCCAGCACGCAGGTGTCTGTGCCGTTAGAGCTCCTTGCTGCCACCTTGGGGTCGCTTTGGGAATTGAATCTTTTCTCGGTGACTCCTCAGTAGCCATAGTGAGACGTTCCAGGGAGAGTCTAACATAAAAGTCCATTTTGAATTATATACGGCAGTGAGATAATGAATAACCTTTGTGAGCCGAGTCAGGGCGCGTTACGTTCATTTCATTTTAATGTGACTTTCCAGTGGTATTTCCAGTGGTATTTCCAGTGATCAGCGTCAGTCTTTGTTCCCATGACCCATTTTTCACCACTTTTCCAAAAATGACTGTTTTCGTGTCACACGTCCCTGTCTCCTCACTGTAATCCGGATACATTCCGCTATCAGGCACGGCATTGAGTTATCACTCAATGGAAATGTGTTTCCTGTGCTGTGGTAGAAATGTCTCTGCAAGCTGGATAGTCGTCACACCTAAGGAACCCGGTCAATATCCGACATGGTGGTTCCAGTTGCTCAGAAGTGCTTTGCAGCCCGGTTCGGCTTCAGGCCTCTCATGTCAAGGTTTTATTTTTGTGCTTGAGGCAGTTGCTGTGAAGTCCTGCCGCCCATCAGTGGGGTTTCGGTTCGCTTTGGCTCCTTCCTGTTCTAACACGTCAGCCACACCTGTTCTGACCCGTTTCTCTCTGCCCCCCCCCCATAGGTGTGAATGGTGTGTGAGTGTGCCCTGCGATGGGCTCCCCCCCCCCCCCCCCCCCCATCCTCGTCATCTTCATCTCTTTGCAGTCCTTGTTCTCTGTTAATCAGCTGTCCGTGCGGATAAGTTAGTTTGTCATAAGTCCCTGATGCTGACCTCATTTATAATTTGGGGGTCATAGATGCTCATCTCGGACGTACCTAGAGGATCTTATCCCCTCCAGGCGCCATGTTTAGTCAATAGGGAACGGATGTCATTTCCCTAAATTTAGTTGTGTAGAATTTAGAGCCGCTGGCTTTTCTGAAAACTGGTCTTGACATAGACCAGTATCGGATCAGTACTTTTCCTTGATGCCTCCATCAGTGAGACTCTCTTGCATTCCTCCCCCCCCAACCACAAGGACACCCTCCCCCCATCCCACGCCTTCGCCGCTTCACACCCCCAGCGTGAACGGGCGGGTCTGTGACCAGCGCCTCTGGCTGCAGGACCGGATGGCTGTTTGTCTGTTTGTCCATGCTGGCCTACCTCCACCTCCCCATTCCCCTCCCCTGTTGCAAGTCTTGACTTTAATGTTGTAAGTTGTGGTGCTTATGTATGTGCTTATGATGCTGAGGTGTTTTTTCTGTTCCTACATTATCCTCCCTACTGGAGTACAGTCTGGGGGCTGTTTTTTTATTCTCCTCCTCTCTCCTCATGTAATTCTGTTTTCTCTGTTCTTCCTATATCCCCCGTCTTCCTGACCTGTCTACCCCCTATAATGTGATGTTTGTATATGTATGGTCAGGTTGATAGCCAGTTTTTCGCTGGTACTTGTGACTAGTGACATGGTGTATTGCAACAGCAATAAAGGGTTTCATCATCATCATCATCATCATCATCATCTTGTTTAACTGGGCTGTGAGGGAGCTATCGAGTGGTAGACCTGCTGTGCTGTGACTGACGGCCCATTCTGCGTCCGGCTCTGCAGCTGTACATGGTGAGAACCATGCTGGAGTCTCTCATTGCCGACAAGAGCGGTGCCAAGAAGACGCTCCGCAGCAGTCTGGAGGGACCCACCATTCTGGATATAGAGAAGTTTCACCGCGAGTCCTTCTTCTACACCCATTTACTCAATTTCAGCGGTAAGTGGCGCTACTGGTCTGCTAAGCCAGATTCTTCCTGGTTTGTTGCCCTATTTTGACCCGGGTGACACCACTAGGCAAGTGTTGAACTGCAGTCTTTTTAATTGCTAAACAGGTATTTCTCCATAGCTGATGATGTCATTATCTATAAAGCCCATCAGGGGGTGTGTCTGAGTGTCTGATTGAGGATTGCCTTATCAGTGACGTGTGTGTTTCCTCGACCCCAGAGACGCTGCAGCAGTGCTGTGACCTGTCTCAGCTCTGGTTCCGGGAGTTCTTCCTGGAGCTGACCATGGGCCGCAGGATCCAGTTCCCCATCGAGATGTCCATGCCCTGGATCCTCACCGACCACATCCTGGAGACCAAAGAGGCATCCATGATGGAGTAAGGAACTCTGCAGTGGCTGTTGTAGCTGACTTTCTCCATTTTAAACACGTCTTAGAACAGGCTGCACTAAGGAGGTACCCATAGAAAGGCACACTGTCCAGTGCTTTGTTGGCTGCTTTTGCATCAGCTTCTTCCACAAAGCAGTGGGAGAGCTTCTGTCTGCTTCCTTGATTGTCCCAAACTCGCTAGTCACACTCAGTCTTCCTCTTCCCAGGTATGTTCTCTACCCCTTGGATCTGTATAACGACAGCGCCCACTACGCCCTGACCAAGTTCAAGAAGCAGTTCCTGTATGATGAGATCGAAGCTGAGGTACCAGCTGCTGTGCCGCTGTAGCGTGAATGTCTGGGCGGTGACATGTTTTGCTTGCGCTGCCGATGCCATTAAGTGCTAACATTCATCGGTGTTTGTTCCAGGTGAACCTGTGTTTTGACCAGTTTGTCTATAAACTCGCCGACCAAATATTTGGCTACTACAAGATTCTTGCTGGAAGGTTTGTAAATTCTTTCATGGACCATTAGTTGGTAGAGCTTGATAATCCGTGATGGAAAAACCAGTGAGGGCCGTAAACCTCAAGTATATGCATGTAGCTGTGAGTCAGAGTGGCTTGTGATGGACCAACGTGCCGTAACTGTAAATCTTTGTCTCCCTGATGGCACCAGCCTGTTGCTGGACAAGCGTTTGCGAGCGGAGTGCAAGAACCAGGGGGCCAACATCCCCTGGCCGTCCTCCAACCGTTACGAGACCCTGCTGAAGCAGAGACACGTGCAGGTGGGAGGGCGGATCCAACCCGGTGCCGTACTCGCGGATCTCCTTGAGCACCTCTAAAGCCGTAACTCCATGCCCTGATGTCTGCTCTCGGCTGCTCTGTTTCGTCTCACAGCTCCTGGGTCGTTCAATCGACCTCAACCGCCTGATCACTCAGCGGGTTTCTGCTGCCATGTACAAATCCCTTGAGCTGGCCATCGGCCGCTTTGAGAGTGAAGATCTGACTTCCATCATGGTGGGTCTCTCTTCTCATGTGATGTCTATGAGCTTTGGGCCTGGGCCAGTACTATGACGCAGGGGTTCATGAAGGCTCATTAATGTGTAGAGTCATCTGCAGCATGGAATCGGCCAGATAAGTTAATCGTTTGGCCTGCGTTCCGATCCGATGTTCTGTAGGAGCTAGATGGTCTGCTGGAGATCAACCGCCTGACACACAAGCTTCTCAGCAAATACCTCACACTGGACAGTCTGGACGCCATGTTCCGTGAGGCCAACCACAACGTCTCTGCACCTTATGGCCGCATCACCCTGCATGTCTTCTGGGAGCTCAACTACGACTTCTTGCCCAACTACTGCTACAACGGCTCCACCAACAGGTGTGGAGGCTCATGTCGCACTTTGATCACTCAGAGCCAAGCATATGACACGGAGGGTGATTTTAAATCAGTTTTTCCCAATCTGGTCCTTGGGGACCCATAGAGGGTCCATGTTTTTGCTCCCTCCCAACTCCTGGTATATGGACTGTTTGGCAGAGAGCTGGGAGGGAGCAGAAATGTGGACCGTCTGTGGGCCCCCGCTTCCCCCGCTGCTTCTACAAACAGCAACACTTGGGCAGGCCACTGTTGCTGAGAGTGACATGAATGTTTTGTGAGCGATTCTTGAGTTTATGCTACTTTATTTCCTTCCTCTTTGTGGTAGACGTATCAAAAAGGTCGTGCCTGCATGCGCTCACGCTCTCCTGACAGGTTCTTACTGAAGCGTTTCTCCATAAATACGCTTCTTTCAAAGGCCAGGGTTGCATTGCAATGCTGATTTTTTAATCTCTTTTATCTAAACAGCACATGGCTGTCTGCTCACATGGCAACGGCTCTGTTGCCTAAAACGGTTTGTTTGCTTTGAGTGGCGGCATGTGAGGCTTCTCCGGGGGTCTGGGCTAATTATCATTCCTTTCTTGCCTCACTTTTTTTTGTTTTTTCTCTGTGCTGAAGTACTTAATTTGAAAGACTGTTTTTTGAAAATAGGTATTTATGGAAGTGTCAAAGACTGCTTCATATGTCTCTGATTTTTTTATTTATTTTTTCGGTCTCCTTCCTGTGGAAACGGTGCTTTTCTTCACGGTTAAATTTCAGTAAGATGGCCTTTCCTGCCCCACAGGTTTGTCCGCACCATCCTGCCCTTCTCACAGGAGTTCCAGAGAGACAAGCCACCCAACGCCCAGCCACAGTACCTGTATGGGTCGAAGGTGAGCTAGATCACCCAGGACTTCCACCCTTACAGAGGTCCCAGCAGGGTAAAGGGCCAGCTTTCCGCTGTCATGTGCTCGGTCTGCCGCATGCAGGGGGGGCAAAAACCTTCTAACCCGTGTCGACTTTCAGAATAAATGGTGTGTGTTCATACTCCTGATTCCATGCCCAGCATTCCTGCACGGGGGCTCGTGTAACGCGTCGTCTGGAAGAGGTGTGACTTGATGCTCTCAGAGTGGCGTTGAGAGTTTACCTGCATGCAGATCGGATCACTGCTTCTGTACTGGAGAGGCTGTGGCTCCTGTCTGCCTCGCTCGGGTCAGCAGTTTCTGCCTCCTCTGTGTCCCGTCACAGTGTAAACAAATGTGTCGGAAAGGAACTATGCAGCTCAGCCGAAACTCCAGAACTCTTTCAGGTGGTGTCATGCAGGGATTGGAATTGACCGTGAGAATTATTTGACTAGAAAGATTTGTCTTTGCACAGGCAGTTTGCCCCTCCCTCGCCTTGAAAGTTGAGATGGGGGTTGGGTAGGGGTATTTTTAAAGTCATTGTGTTCCGCTGTGGTAGACAACGACCTTGTTAGAGCAGTATTTACCTTACGTTTGATCAAATAAATAAACAAACCAATAAATAATTCCAGGCTGACTGAAGGTGGAGTAATGAGTGGAGCATTGCGTTCCTGTTACACAAAGGATATAGACACAGGAATCATCAAACAAAATGTAGAAATACTGGTTTTGTAAGTAGCAGAATGAGTCTAAAGCCTGTCCGCCTCTGGGCCAAAGTGCAGTTTGAAAAGGTTCAGGAGATATCTCTAGGATATTTTTTTTCTTAAGGTGGAAGCCATAAGAGAAGGACCAATCAGAGACGGACAGGAGGGGGCTCTCTCTTCCAGTGCCCCTGTGGCCCCACCCCTGTATATTCCTCTGAAGAGGCCAGTTGTCAGACTTCCCTTTAAGAGGAGGAGGATGGGAAGGTTGTTCCACCAGAGAGCCATTGGCTGTAGTGACAGCAGATGTCATGCAAATCTGAGGACGTGTCTCACTGCCGATGACTGATACCTGCTGCTCATGGCTGCCAGCTGCTAATAAGCTTGTCACCACACTGACACGGAAGCGGCCGCCTTTGTGCTTTTGTAAGGATGGTGCATTTTCACACAGCCGCCATGTGCATCCCCAGTTTTCATTCCGACTTGCTGGTCGAGTACATTTAAAAAAAACTTGTGTGGGCGATGTAATTTAAAGTCCTCCCCCCCCCCTCTCTCTGCACAGTCCCTGAACCTGGCATACAGCAGCATATTTGGATTCTACCGCAACTTTGTGGGCCCTCCCCACTTCAGGGCCATTTGCAGGCTGCTGGGCTACCAGGGCATCGCCGTAGTGATGGAGGAGCTGCTGAAGGTGGTGAAGAGCCTGGTAAGAGAGCAGGGTGCCATTTGATGATCTCATCAGTAATGAACGATAAGGGAAAAGTAAGCCAGTGTGTTTGGCAGTTACTGACAGGTGACTCACCTTTGTCGGGCAAGTAGAAAACAAGACAAAACAAGATAACAGACATGATTTGGCTTTCAGTATAGCATTTCTGATGCAGTGAAAAAAGAAGTCTTTAAAATATGTTACATTTTATTTTTAGATCAGTGGTTCTCAGACTATAGCATGCGCCCCCCCGCCAACAACAACAGCTTTACCGTTGTCATATGGAGGGCATAATATTGTCAGGTAGTACATGGCGTGCAGAGGTTTTGCTTTAGATGGATTTAGGCAGCCTGCCACTTTTCTAAATCACCGGCCCATGGATGGATCGTTTTCTACAGAGGCTAAAAACTATTGGGGCTTTTCCACTGGCATACAGGAACAGAGCTGTACCGCGAACGGATGCATAGTCCAGCTCGCTTCGGTTTTCCACTGGCATACAGGAACAGAGCTGTACCGAGAACGGATGCATAGTCCAGCTCGCTTCGGTTTTCCACTGGCATACAGGAACAGAGCTGTACCGCGAACGGATGCATAGTCCAGCTCGCTTCGGTTTTCCACTGCAGAAGGGTCGGCTCGATTAAGGCGTTGCCGGGTTTGGAGAGCGACTGACGTAAGACCGAAAAGACCCTTCTTTACTGTTCACATGGTGCACACTGTAAAATTTACTATGTGCTAATTTCACTAAAAGGTTTGCGATAATCGCCATCTAGTACTAGCATCAAATGCTCCTGGAAGTGGTATCACGTGTGTAAATTTCCATTACAAATTTGTTCTGTGCAGCTGTTAGTACTTTTTTTTTTTATTATTTAAAATAGGAGGTTGGAAATTTTCAAGTTCTGAGTTATTGGGAATGCAGTGTGATGCTGCTGCTGCTACTACTACTAATAATAATATACAGAATATGCCTTTTTTTCTTTTAGGTAATCCATGCATTTCAATCACCAGTATCTCCCTGCATTTCGACTAATCATGCATGGGTGCAAGCAGCTCAGCTTGGTCATGCCTGGTAGTCTGCGGGGCCGGCGTAGTCTGCGGGGCCGGCGTAGTCTGCGGAGTTACAGCTCGGGTACAGCTCAGATAATTGACAATGGAAAGCTGTCAGTTCGCAGTACGACCTAGTTCTCGGTGGCAGTGGAAAAGCACCATATGATCAGCTCCGCTATCAAACATCCCCTCACCCCTAATTAACTTTTTTTGCAGATTATCTGTATTTTTTATTTTCATGCTGTCATTTTTTCTTTTGGCTAAAAAAATGTATGCCCAACTTTGTGTGGGGGGCAGTGTTGGTGGTGCTGGACGACTATTTTATCATTTATCCCGATATACTAAAATTTAAAATATTATAAATAATTTTCTTTTTAAGACATCCTCATGCCCTAGTGAACTTGCATCCCTGATGCTCGTGATTTATGAAGCGCAGTCAGGGTTTCTGTGGCGGCTCGCCATGCTCTCTGGTTGCTGTATTCGAGCCCATTAGCACTCTCTGTACTAATTGAATTACACTAACAACCCCCTCCCTTCCTGCCAAAGCTCCAGGGCACCATAATGCAGTACGTCAAAACCCTGATGGAGGTGATGCCGAAGATCTGCCGACTCCCAAGACACGAGTACGGCTCCCCAGGTAGGGAGCTGTGTGAACGCCCGCCGCAGCCAGCATGGGGGTGTTGTTGCGTCACGGAGCCGTTTGCATCAGCCCGTGCCTGGGTGTATTGCGGCAGCGTGCGGCTGGCTCGCACCGGTCAAACCGGAAAATTATTCCCTGGGTCCGACCTGCTGCTCAGAAGATAATTGCAATGACGCACTTGTGGGACATATTAAGCGATTCCAGTGCGTTAAGTGCTTCCCCCTTGGCGTGTCATCATTTAAATGGACACATTCTGTTACTGGTGCAGCCTGGGACCTGAGAGAATCACTGGAGTCTCTTACCGCTAAAATGAAGCAGGCAGGTCTCTCCCCAAAGCCCCAGCAGGCATGACGTTCAGCTCGCTCTTAATGTACCTCCATTAAGTCGGCTTGCTGAAGCCATTTTTAGGGACCTGCTGCCTAATGTTCCCTCTGGCTAAAAGTCTCTGAGCGAGTTGTGCGTTCAGCTGGCCTGTTAGTAGGTCAGTAGGTCAGGCTGCAGATGATCAGTCGCCGTGGTAACGCCCGTGTGACGGCCTGCCCGCGTGATGGCCTGCCTGTGTGACGTGGCCCCACTGTTCCCCAGGCATCCTGGAGTTCTTTCACCACCAGCTGAAGGACATTGTGGAATATGCTGAGCTGAAGACTGTGTGCTTCCAGAACCTGCGTGAAGTGGGCAACGCCCTGCTCTTCTGTCTGCTGAGCGAGCAGAGTCTGGTGGGGCCCCCTCCTCGCTCCCGTAGTGTCATCCCCTTTTAAAGGGATTCAAGCCCCACTGGGGTGGTTCTCTTCAGACCCTTTTCTTTGGAGTTCCCAGTTCAAAAGCCTGAATGGGTTAAATTGGGCAGCGTTCAGTGGACCAGATCTCTGCAATTTGTGTATCCAAAAATCAGTCACTTAATTTTTCTTTTTTTGTGCATGTTCCACTTCTGTGTTGTCACGGTAACAGCTGCATTAGTGTCCTATTATGACTGCCCTATCTACACAGTTTGTGTGCTTGGATCGCTGCCTGTTACCAGCTGCTCATCGCCAACCAATCAAGGGGCAAGCGAACAGCACACAATTTGTGATAATTGCAACTCTAAGCACTTAGAGTCTGTAGCTTTCCTGCCTGACTGCTCATTTGATGTTCATCCCTCCTCCAGTCTCAGGAAGAGGTGTGTGACCTCCTGCACGCTGCCCCCTTCCAGAACATTCTGCCCAGGGTGCACGTGAAAGGTGAGTGTGTCTCCGGGCCACCTGGCACGTGTGCGTGGCACCATGGCCCGCAATGGTGACCGGAGTGTTCCTCTCCGCAGAGGGTGAGCGCCTGGATGCCAAGATGAAACGGCTGGAGACCAAGTACACGGCGCTGCACCTCGTGCCGCTCATCGAGCGCCTGGGGACCCCGCAGGTGCCGCCCCCCACCCTGCATTTCAGCACCGATACGCCCGATGCGTCCAGGGCGTCAGCTTTCCTCTCCACATTCTCACGCTAGACTTCTGGGAAGGATGCTGTCACAGCCATCCAGTTATAGAAATTATTGGTCAATTTAAATTAATTCTTGCATGTTCTGTTGCTACATGCACTGTAGTCCTCCCAGGGTCACGAGTGAGGTCATAAAGCTCTTTGATAGGTATTTCATTAATTGCCTGGATGTTGGTCATGTCCAAATTGTACATGTACTGCTATTTTTATTTATTTTTTTTAAATCAAGTAATGTAACATCGAGTAATGGGATACTGTTTTTCTTTTCTCACCCATTATACCCCTAAATGCATCTAGCAAATTGCCATTGCGAGGGAGGGCGACCTGCTGACCAAGGAGCGTCTCTGCTGCGGACTGTCCATGTTTGAAGTCATCCTGAGCCGCGTGCGCAGCTTCCTGGACGACCCCATCTGGCGGGGGCCGCTGCCTAGCAACGGCGTGATGCACGTGGACGAGTGCGTGGAGTTCCACCGGCTGTGGAGCGCCATGCAGTTTGTCTACTGCATCCCCGTGGGAACCAATGAGTTCACGGTCGAGTGAGTGGCACGCCATGTAGATGCAGTCTCACTAGTGTGTCTTTTTGGAGAACTAGCCTAAAACGACATCCTGGAAGTTAAATGGTAGCAGGCTAAGCAGTGGCCCTCACTGTTTGCAGGCAGTGTTTTGGGGATGGGCTGCACTGGGCCGGCTGCATGATGATCACCCTGCTGGGGCAGCAGCGCCGCTTTGACATCCTGGATTTCAGCTACCACCTGCTGAAAGTGCAGAAGCACGATGGCAAGGATGAGATGATCAAGAGCGTGGTGAGTCTGCCACGGCTGTGCCCGCTGCTCCGTAGTATTCGTCAGGGCTGCAGACAAAGGCCCACGCCTCAGTTTTATATCTAAATAAGCCCCTTTTCCTGATCTTCAGTCTCTGAAGAAGATGGTGGACCGCATCCGTAAATTCCAGGTGCTGAACGATGAGATCTTCGCCATCCTCAGCAAGTACCTGAAGGCAGGAGATGGGGAGAACGTGCCGGTGGAGCACGTCCGTTGCTTCCAGCCCCCCATCCACCAATCACTAGCCAGCAACTGAGTTTACAGTGTTAACTTGTCCAGTGAGGCTTAGTGCCATGAGATTCTATAGTGGGACCAAGGGGCCTGGCTGTGGCCTGCGTCGGTCACTAGTCAGTTCCACATGTGCTTCTCTCTGGAGCAGAACCTTGACAGGGCAGACTGACATGCCAGATTCTGTATACAAATAGCTAAAACTTGATTTGATTATAGTTTTCAGAAGTTTTTGTAAACTCTTGTGCCTTATGGGTGTGACCTAGTACAGACTACAATGCTTCACTTTTTAAAATTACTATACTACCATACTTTAACTTTTTTTTTGATATGGAGAAATATAGTCAGATGGTGAATGAATGTTTGTTTTTTTTGGTTTTTATAAAATGATTATTTAAGGGATATGCAGTGAGATGGAATTGCCAGGACACAGTAACAGGAAACCAGCATGCACTCATTGCGTCATAAGTCATTAATCGGGTACGTAACCATTGGCTGTACCGTCCTCCCGTGTTAACCATTTATTGCTTTTGACTTTTATACTTTGACCTATTGTAATCTCATTGAGTCAAATAAATTAACATTTAATCAATGTGTTCCTCTCGAAGGCATCTTGAGTATAAACATGAGAACCGTTTGGACAGTACCATTCCTGCACTGCACTGGAATCACATGAAAATCCCATTGGGACTGGATTTATTGAAGTTAAAGCATCTGACCTTTTTCTTCATTTAATTTGTAGAAATGAGCTCAGTGCATGTAAATACAGATCTCTGTACACAGAGTATAAGAAAGTAATTTTAAAAATATCGGAAAAAAGATTCAGTCCTACATGGAAGTGATCCCTAACCATGTAGTCAACTTAAAAAACAAAAACATAAGGCAAATGAAAACATCAGGACAATCCATTGGTCCACTTTGCTATGGGATTGTCTGATATTTTTGATTCTATATCAAAAAAATGCTGCACATCAGTTTAGTGCAATGGTCCACCATCTTGGGAATTCTCCCATAAAGCCTCCCTACAAGGAGACCATAGAGCCGTTCCTCCTGGAGACGCTGTCGAACGGCAGACCTGCCTCCCTGTCCTCCATGTCGGCTACGATGGTGTCATCCAGAAGTTGGTACGCAGCATGTGTCGCCAGCCCGTTGGAAACCGGCAGGGCCCGCTCCTCTTTGCGGATGGACACGGCCAAGCTGGCCAGGCTGATGTTGACGTCCTTGAAGGCGTGGAGGAGGAAGATCCCTATGATGATGGTGGCGAAGCCGCTGATGGTGCCAATGATGTCACTGGCACTCATGCTCTCCCACTCCTTGAAGAGGATGGCCGAGCACGTGAGCACCGACGTGGTGAAGAACACGTAGTAGATGGGTGTCACCAGGGAGGTGTTGAAGATGTCCAGAGCCTTGTTCAGGTAGTTGATCTGTGTGCTCACGCAGGTAACCAGGCTGAAGAGGAGGATCCAGGACAAGGGATTCGTGAAGACTGGCTTTCCTGCAAACAGCTCCTTAATCGTGATGCCCAGGCCCTTCACGCAGGACACAGAAAGGGCGCCGATCACAGAGCAGATGGTGATGTAGACTAAAATGTTGACCTGTCCATGTCGAGGTCCCACAACGAAAATCAGTATAAGTGCTACGATGACCACGAATGTTGCAAATACAACAAACCCTGTGGAGAAAATGAAGACTTAACTCGACTTGGGTAAAGCTTTAGACATTCCAGACAGTACCTGATCTGCAACCTCGTTAGCCAATTTTGCCTTTTACGCAACTGAGGACAAACGTGTAAGCAGGCGTTTCTCTCTGTAAACGTGACCACACCCCCTCTGTTTCGGGCGCCGCCCTACCTGGGTCAACCAGTTTGCCAGCCATGTCCTTCAGGCTGTTGATCTCCTCCTCCTGGGGGGCGTGGATCACCATGGTGGTGGATCCCAGGACGCTGAGCACGCAGCCCAGCTTTCCGTGCAAATTGAGCCTCTCGGACAGGAAGTAGGAGGACAGAACAGCACTGGAAGGCAGACGGTAGCCATTAACACCTCCGTCAATCCCAAGTCTGACACTAATCGATAAATAATGCAGACAAGTCACAAAGTTCACCCACGCCACCTAGAATGTGCTACTCGAAACCCATAACCAATGACCTTTGAACCTTTTTCATGCAATTTCAATGCATAAAATCTTGTTCCTGGAATACGGTTTCTAATCTGTCATCACCATCAATCGTGAGGGAACTTGCCTCACAAGGACGCTGAGTGCTCCCAGGGGGGTGACAAGTGTAGCGGGGGCAAAGGCATAAGCTGCGAAATTGGCAGCCTCACCAACTCCCACTGCATTTCATAAAAAAAATAACACACACACTTTCACACACAGTATGAACAAAGATGTAAAAAAAATAATAATCAACCATATTTTCAGCTTCAATGTGTTTTTTCGATGCGCTGTCCCTGTAATACACCTCCCTGGCATGTCAACAGAAGACGAGTGAGTCACTTACTTGACAGTAACCCAGCCCACCAGAGCCACTCTTTCAGATATGCGTGTCCTCCCTGGCCTGTGAAAGCAACCAGGTGAGGTTACAGCAGCTGCTGACTCACACTTCGCTGCTTTAGTCTTTAGCTTTCAGCCTTACAGAAAGTCAATTACAGCTTAAGCGAGAACACAAACATTTAGCTGGATTTAAGAAAATACATTGCTTCATACCCAAAAATGACATACTCAACAGTTACTTCAACACAATAGTTTACAAACTGGTATTTTATGTTGCTACCCTTCTAGGGTGAAGAAAAACAGTCAATTTCTAGACAGAACTGTAGTGGAGATACAACAAATTAGTTACGGGTATTTCTGTTTTGGGTAACAAATACCTTATGAGCAGAGGCCATGCATAAATGTGGCTGGATGTGTTTTCTCAGTACATTTCCGAAGGCCAGCCTGAGAACCTCGGCACTCAGATAATGACCGACCCGTGATGTGAGAAAAGGGGTGTTTGCGTGCCAGTTCTGGCCACAGCACGCCGCGCTGGCGTGTTCTAACACGGTTTCATGCCGAACGTCATGTTTGCTCACGGCTACCCTCTTTGGGGAGCCAGCAGGACACTGCTTCCTGAACCGGTTATGGGTGAATTTACATATAGAGAGGTACTCCTGAGCCTCTGCATTATGTCTGTCAGAGCCTCTCAGCCTTACTACTGCGGAACAGAAATAAACGCGGATTACCTGCCCGCATGGAGCCCTTCCGGGCCAGGCGAAGGAGGCCCTTCTTCTTCAAGATGAAACTGCCACCGATGAAGATGCTGGAACTGATGGCCAGAGCCAAGCCGATGCAGAAGTCATAGGTCCCCCGCTCTTGCCCCATCGTCACACGGGATCTGCTGTCACAGCCTGTCACATTGATGTCCCCGCAGAGAAGCTGTAGGCCAGTCGCGTCAGCGGCAGAACCTGAGGGAGGGGACCGCAGCCTCAGATAGGGACACTTCCTAACATAGCTCTACTCAGTGGCCTTGAGAATGTTATGGACCCCTGTGAGAGGCACTAAACCCGAAGCCTCACCATTAGCACACGCTACGCCGCTGCCTCTACAGCCCTGCTGCTCCATCACAGTCGTCTCTGCCTATGTCTGGCTTATGCTCCGCTCCCTGGCCCCTCTCTGCCACGGCATCCACCATGCCCGGCCTACATCGCTCCCTGGAGGCTGGGCCTCCTGGCTGCCCACTTTCAGGAAGTAAACTACACCTTTCGTGTTAGGTCACTGTGTGACTCAAAGCAGGATACTAAGAGTTATACTCTGACCTCGGACAGTGAAGCATCGCCATCTACCTGAGACATGTAAAATCTGTCTCCACAAGCATGACATGGAGAAGTTAAACTGATGCCAAACACTTAGGTGTGCAAGCAGTGTAACTGCACCGTATATGTACCGGGCAGTGTTACACCGTCCCGAGTGTGTGTACATATGAATGTAATGTACGAAGTCCGGACACACCTGTATATATACGAATCAGTAACTGTCTACTAAAACACCTACAAAACATATCATAATACATAATAACCGAACAGCCGAGTCCGCTTAAATTACATGAATGTAATTAATAGTTATATATGGATCGGTTTTATTTACACGATTACATTGTATATGTAGCTAATGTACTTACGTACGAAAATGGATCAATATCGGTGTGATCGAACACACTTTTATATATCCGACTTGATATCTGTAAGAGTGTGCACTAAGACACATTAGCTGCTAGCCAGCTAATTGCATTTGACGACAATGACCCCCCCCCTCCTCGCCCTGACTCAACTCCCTGCATCGTCCTTGGAAATTCATGTCTGATTCTCGGCTGCCGGCGGATTTAGCGCCCCGATGTCCGCCGCCGATGTTCACCGCCAGCCGGACGCCTACGATAGGCGGCTAGCCGGCTAACGTTAGCGCCGACCCTCCGGCCGCACGCCGAGGTTAGCGCGCTAGCAGCGCCTTCGCACCGGCCCAGTGGGGCGTCGGTGAAGCAGATGCAGCCCGTCACCATCCGGCCGGACGGCGTGGTAGCTGGTCAGGTGGCTGCGCGAAGCCGTATGATGCACGTTCCCCTCCCCCCGATCGCTCTTCCATGATCAGTATCAGCGCCGGACAGTATTAACGACACACCAGCCCGCGCCCAACTTAGATTACCTGTTTCGTACTCTGCGGGGGCCGAGCTAAGACACACAATCAACCGGACGAGCAGCTTCACATTTTCTTCCCTATCCGAGTCTGGGACTGGTAGTTCAGCCCGCCTCCCCCCGACTGGAAAGCGCCGCGCGTCACCCGACGTGAGTGGGCGTGCTCGCTTCCGCACGCTACGTCATCCCCGCCCAAGAAGGTCCGCCCTTGATCGTCTTTTAAATGATTTTAAAATAGTAATATTTATAATGACAAGGGCTACACTTTACTTATACACAGATAAGCAGACTCACGGACGTAATGGAGGAGAATTTTATCAGATCGCTCACCACCATAACTTCCAGGTTACTACTGCATGCCTCAACTTAGTCGGACTCCTACAATTCAAATGACCTACAAACGTATGTATCAACCCTGCGTTATGCAACTATCAGTTTAATTCTGCCTGAATGTGAGATGGCTGGTATAGTCTGGCCAAATTTATGTGTCCTGTAGAGCCGAAGTGCTGCAAAGTCTAACGCACCTGAGCATCTACGAGCTGCTAAAGAGTCATTGGCCGAATGGCCGGTGTTCGCCCCTGATTGTTTGAAGCATAACTCGGATCCGCTCTGTACTTTTGCATTTCTTTAAAGTTACACAGAATGCCTACAAGCACACAGTGTGGTTTCCTGACATTTCCCTCCTTGGTTTTTTCTTTAGGCCCTGAGTTCAAGATGTCAGAACCTATTTTAGTTTTGCAGTTGTTTTTTTCTGTCCATGAGCTGATTGCACCTCTGCCACAGAATCTTGTTAGTGGGTTCTTCACGATTTTATCACAGGCACACTTACCAGATGAGTGTGAGCTATTAAGATACTGCTCAAAGTAAATAAGGCTTCCATCTACAACTCTGTTAGCTTGAAATACAGATTTCTTATTCTGTTAGACTCTATATACTCACACAGACTCCAACAGCCTCACATGAACTGGGAGGAGATCAGCATACTTCCGGCACCATTGAGGTCTGTGTATGGTTTTCTGGGAGAGCAGGAACACGCATTTCTGCATTCCTGTTACCTTCCTCTGCCCGCAGTCATGCCTAAGGATCTTCCTCCACAATCCCCAAGTCAGAATCAGTGGGCTGCTGTTCTGATGGATCGGCGTGACTGATGAAGGAGTTTGGTTTGTCTCTTTGCTGGCAACTGGGACATGGTTGCCCCTGACACTCTCCAACTCCCCCCCTTTCAGTTCCCTTACTTTACCGTTCTAAATCTGAATGTGTAGTTTAATACAGCTTTTATTCCACAACATCCCACCCACCTGATCAACGGTTTGTCATCTTAAAACTGTATTTAAGTTGGCAAACTAAACAACCATCCAATTAATTTTTCTGAGTATATTTAAAAATTCAGTAAATTACTCAGGTGAGTTAGGAGATGAGGCCATTCAGTTGTACAGTTATGGCAAATCAATCTTTAAATAAAAATAAGCAAAGACCACATAATTTTATAAACATGAAGGTTCCAATACTAAACACTGTAATACAAATCATTACTATTAAGTGAGAATTACCAGAAACATCATAGGAATACTAGAATGATCACTAAGAAACTTACCGAGTCGATACATCATAGAAAACTGTGAAATCGATCGGAAGAGAGAGGAGAATCCACCACTAAACATCAATGGAACAAACACCCCTTGCTATGACATGTGAGAAGAGGATCTAGTGTCTTTCCTCCCCCTTGTCATAGTATCACAGTTTGTCACAACCAACCATTAATTTTTTTCCTGGCACAGCATTGCTGAACACTGTAGTTTTTGTCTTCAAGCATTCAGATGGAGTCATTTAATCTCAGGCTTGTAAGAAAATGCTTCTGTGTTTCTCATTCATATGACAGACCATTTACGTTTTAAATGCCCAATCCAGAATAACACGTCATACAATTAAGCAAAGTCATGTCTCAGCATGCGGGTGTGAATGCTTGTTTTTTTTTTTTATCTTGGTACTAGATGTGTTTATAGAAACAAACGCTTATCTTCATGGAAAAATGCGGATGGTTCACATTCTGCCAACGATTTAGGCTGGATGGCCTAGACAACCGTCTACATGGGAAACATGTTCAATAACACGCCCGAAGAGGTTGTTTTTTGTCAAAACTGACAAATATCAGTATTTATTTTTCTTCCAGACCACAAAAATCCCAAAACCTGATCTACACATTTTCCTTAAAACCTAGCAATCAAAGAAGAGGCAGAAAACAAAAATAGTTTATACCTCAGTTTGACTTCCAGGAATATGTACAGTCGAACCTTGGTACAACGTACCCCGTTTATAACGTTTACACCAATACAACGTTCAAATTTCAATGTCCCTAATTTGTGTAACGCATTATTCCATTTGCCGGTATCGCTTAGAACGTACACCTTTACAGCGTAAACTTCGATATAACGTATGATTTTCAGTGGAAAATGGGCAAACTGACCTTCGTTACAACGTACAGCCTCATCTTCCGAGCGTGCGCACAATTCAGAATCGGCTGTTGCCGGCCATCTACATCGCTTAGCAACGCCTAACTGTATGAACCTATCCTCACGAAGCATTCCACGCCGGCCGGACTCCTTGCATGCAGCCCCCGTTTTTTCATGGTTTTGCATGGTGTCATGGTATCTAAATTTATTTCAGCCAATTGAATCATACAGGTGCATAATTTCGGTTTGACATTAGGTTCCAGTAAGGCGATTTGAACGATAAGCCAGCAGTGGATTTTGCGTTATGTCGGCTGTCTATGAGTAACTGATATTAACCTAGTTTGAAGAATATAGTTCCTATTCAGAATAGGAACTATATTCTTCAAACTACACAAGCTGTATGTCATAGTGTCAACTTGAGGGGTGTTTTATAAAAGTTTTTGTTTTGTTCTATCATTCATTTTGAGGGACTTGGGTACAACGTACTATGGTTATAACGTACAAATTCTTAATGTCCCCCGAGGTACGTTGTAACGAAGTTCGACTGTACTGAAATGGTTTCATACAAAGTTCTCAATAATGAGAGTAATTTGTTACCTTGGCTTCATATGACAGTGATCATATATACGTTTCGTTAGAATTTTATAAATTACGCAAATATTAAAATTAGCTGCAATGTCCAGTAAGTTAAATAGATTAGCAAGTTAAAACTCTCTCTCTAAAAGCTCCTGAGGTCGTCAGTCGTCTTTGGCAGGAACCTTGGTTGGCTTCCAGTCGAAAGGTGTTTCTTGGGGCATTCGAAGCAGGAAGACACCAACGGAGACGACGGCGAGGCCACACAGCATACCCAGGCAGTCCACCGCACCCAAGGCAGTCCACTCCTTGAAAATCACGGCCGACGCCAGGATGACGGAAGTGGTGAACGCCACATAGTATATGGCTTCAAACATGCTGGGGCTGAAGCTCTCCAGGGCCTTATTGATGAAGGTGAACTGGAGGAGGACGCTGACGGCCAGTGTTCCCAGGAGACCCAGGAAGAGTGCGTGCGTCCCGCTGTTGGGAGAGCCACCTGCAAAGGCTTCAGGGGCGACCAAGCCCAGCCCCTTGCTGCTGGGCACGGTGAAGGTTCCCAGCAGCGAGCAGATGGAGACGTACACCATGATGTTCGAGGAGCCGTGAAGTGGAGCCACCCACGTGATCAGCACGGCCAGAATCAGCAGAACCATAAAGATGTAGGCAAAAAGCACTGAATGGAGAGAAAGACTTTCACTAACCCCGTCTCAGAAGCAATCCATAGCCGATTACACTCGCCAGTCACAGTATTTGTGAGACTTTCAAGGAATGCGTGAAGCAGCTTCATTAGCAACAGCACAGACTTAGAAATGACTCATAATCAAACCAGGATGCAGTAAGATAAAAAGCAAGATGCGTACAGGGATCTCGGAGCCTGGTCTCCAGCTCCGCTCTGGAGCTCACGTTATCCAGCTTTGGAGCGTGGATGATCAGCACCACAGATCCCACGCAGCACAGGACACAGCCCAGCTTCCCCAGGGTGGTCAGACGTTCCTGGAGCACCCAGGAAGCCAACAGGGCCCTGTGACACACAGGAAACATGGCACACCAGCTCAGAGCCCCGTTCTCAGTAGGGTGGTCCTTCAACAACAGGGTTAAAAAAAGTTTTAGCTACACAATGAGACACATGGTGCCTTGTTTCCATTTCATACTGTGAGCTTATGTGCAAAATATTGACTGAACTGAGCAAAATTTAGAGATCCCCCAAAATGTCGACTTGCATTAGGTCTATGAAATCACGATCCAGGTAGTTTACTTCATGTTGATGAATCAAAAGATGTGATATTATAAATTATATCATATGTAATTCTTCATTTATATACATATGATTGTTTTTATTCCCAGGCGCCGTTTCAGGTGAACTATGACTAGATCTGACGAGTTGTGGCTGATTGGTCATCGGGATCTGAGGGCGGCAGTCTTCCTTCTTAGGGCCAAGCATTGTGAAAGTACTTCTCTGCACAGATGAGAGAAACAGACCAAGGCAGAAGCCGCAAAAGTGACGCTGGGATGTGTCAGTGGTTTTTGGAACGCAGCCCATATTCCCGGTCTTCAAAGGCCCCTGACCCTCACTGATGAGTAGGATGGTCTATTGAAGCACCAGAGTTGGGTCTCAAGCACAGATAAGGTCAGGGAAGCAATGTTTCAAGACTCCCGGGAAGACATATCCGGCATTGGCCACAAAGACGTGTCTTTGATGAAAAATCAAGAAGACAGGGATTTTCTCATCCATCATCTACGGCTGGAGTCCGCACTGTACTTGCCAAGGAAGTCGCTGGTGGAGCTGAGCCACCTCTGGGCCCTTGAGTGGGGCCCTTAACCTCCATGGCTCCAGGGACACCGTGTGACTCTGCTCTCTGATCCTCACCATTATGTCACTTTGGGCTCAATAAATGTACTGAACTGTAATCAAAACCTGGTGTAGCAGTTACTGAATTTATGGGATTAAATAGGACTGATATTTTGGGAAGTGCTACCAAGCTATAAGAGACCAAGCCTTCTGGGCTAGGACTGGTATCACTGGTTCTGGGTGGATTACTGGGAAGCGAAATGGATGAATGATGGACATCATCTCTTAGGTGTGGATTTGCTCCAAATAATATCACCCATAAGTACATATACACACGACCACATATACAAAGCCCTTAATGGGCGTGTGCAAGTTTGGCAAATTACATCATATGTGTTTGTAACTCTGATATTTGTGCTTATCACTAATGCAGGATGTCTAAAACGGCATTTCCTTTTAACTTATCTTTCTGGGGTGAGTTTCCCGAAGCGTTCTTAACGCTATGTCGTTCTTAAGTTCTGTGTTAAAAGATAGAACTAACTAACGACGTAGCGTTAAGAAGGCTTCGGGAAACTCACCCCTGGTTGGTTTTTTGCCTGAAAACCGACACTGATTCCCTCTCACAATGTCTGTCAGTCCAGATCCCTGAACATTTCATTCATGCCGTACACTGAAAGAAAAAAAGGAGTATCAGTTTGTCACTGGGGCTGTACCCTCAAGGGTAAATGTACCTTTTAAGGTACAGACATAGACTCTGAGAAACATTTTTGTACCATTGGGGGTACATTAATGTTGTTTGTACCTTGGGGATGTTCCTCAGAGTCCATTTCTGTACCTTAGATTAGACTAAAAGGTACATTTACCTACAGCTAGGGTACAATTAGCAGACCCTTGCGGGTACAGCTTCAGTAACAAGCAAGAGTACCATGGTACTCTTATTTCTGACAGTGTATTTACATGGTAAATTTATGCCTGGGATGCGCTGACAGGGACTTATTAAAACGACTCACCCAAACAGCACCCCGAGGGCTCCTAGAGGGGTCACCAAGGCAGCAGGGGCAGCATTGTAGGCCAGGAAATTGCCAATCTGACCCACAATCACTGTTTGATTCAATCAATAAAACACGTTAAACGATAGTTCGGCGTTTGGCACAAATTAATTTCAGTCAGTGATGGTTAAATAAGTTCCATCTGAGATTTTCATTATTAAAATAGACGGGAACTCTGAAAATTCCATATGAATAGTTAACAATCCGAATGGCATATATATTTAAATATGCACGATGCCCTGCGGTTTGTAGCGCTCTACTTACTAGATACGGTACCGCTCCACCAAACACAGTCTGTCAAGTATGATCCTCCTGCAAAACGCACATAGGCAAATTCATATTTAGACGTTTTACCCACTGTCAATGAATAATGCAATGCGACTTTAATGCAAATAAACTGTCAAATATTCCTGCCCCCATCACCTAGTGACTGTATTTTTCCTTTGATAATACGGATACCTCGTTTTCTTGCGCGTAAAATTCCCTTTTTTTGCAAAACAAACGTCGATCCATTTATGAAACTGGATACTACAGCGATTCCAACACCAACGGGTACTGAGGAAGTTTCAGCCAACTCTGAAGTCATTTTGACTTTCCGTTTTTAAAGTAAGCAGGTATGCGTTGCTAACTGTATACATCAGTCAGGAGAAACATTTGGTCCTTGACACGACACTAAAATGTGACAATTCCCCAATGAACAGTTACCGAAACACCATTCAAACACAACAATGTAGCAATGACACTGACGGCTCCCCATACACAGCTGACCGGAAGACAAACTGCTACACTTTATTGAAAAACAAGCTACCAGGGCGCCCTCTTTTGGTGACTAGTGAAAAATACACCCACCCACTTTTTTACGTCTGGAACGTCATGACGTAGTACAGGTGCAACGCCTATTTCTGTTCGTTAAACGGCTATTTAACATCACCAAACCAATGATCAAAAACCAATATTGCAAAACAAGATTCAATCAACTGCCTTTCGCGTTAAAATTTACATTAAAGCTTTGTATTGTCTTTTTAAGAAAAAATATCCCTCTCCATTGTTTCTGAGAATACTCCTAAATGTGCATAAAATAATAGTTACTGCGGTTTTGAGATTTACATTATTCATTCGCTGTATCTGCATTTACATTGACGCTACTCGGTGCATAAAAAGATAATGCAGGTAGTGGGCTTCCTACAAGTACACAATGTTCAAATCCAATTTGTTTGCATCAAATGTGCCACATTTATTTCTTTGAGTATTTTTTAAAGCATATCATCCGTTACTATTTATAAGCCTCCCCATGTGTTCCACAAATACTGTGCCCCCGGGTTTCCTGGCAACTCGTGAGGACTTTGATCGCGTGCCGTGCCACATTTACCGCATTTCTGTTTTCGTCTGCTGTACTTAACCGTTCAGATATTTTGCAGAGTATTTATTCAGTTACGCCAGCAAGCTCACTTTCACATTCTTTTTGATCCCGAGATGATTAAAGATAACCAGACATACGCCCACCGTCGGGGACTCAAACAGCCCATCCCTAGACCATTCGATTAAGTTCCGTATGATATTTTGCGTAACCATAGCTACTCGGTGTACCGTATTGGTTGCACTGAAATTTAGCTAGGGGGCAGAAGAACTGAAGCGCATTTACGCGGATGGCCAAGATTACTGATTACAATTAAACAAAGGTCCACGGCTGTCTACAGAAAACGATATATTTTTTACACCATTTTAAAATATTAAAATTCAATATTTCTACAGCAATTTCCCTTCCCTGTCCACCGTACGGTCCCTTTAAATTTACACTCACGCCCTCGTGCTGCGTCTACCCACCTTCACTGCTAGGCTGAAGCCCCGCCCTCAAAGCCGAACATTCCTGGCGATCAGCGTTTATTTCTTGCGCCCGTTGGCCAGCTCGCCTGTCAATCATTATCCAACATGGACGGTATTAGAATGCTGCAGAGCTGGTAACTGGGCTGAGGGGACAGAAATAGAATAAGCCAAAGCGAACGGGTAAGAATACCGCCGTCTTATTTTTATATTTATTAGTATTTTTAAACGATTACACATTCGTTTCGTGGTAGGGTCTTAACGCTATAAGGGTTGTTTGGTGGAGGGTGTCGCGATTGAAGAAGTGCGGCTTGCGTACCTTGCGTATTGTGGTGTCCTAGGCGGCTAGCCGTCGGCTAACTAGCTACGAGTGATAAGAGACAGTAACCACGGTACCGGCTAACGGGTCGCGGAGGGTAAGACAGCCAGCCAGCCCCGGCGGCGGCATTGACATCCTTCGAATTTTAATTAAAAATACATATTTTTACGTTTTTAATAGGCTGAGTCGTGCATCTGAGGCATCCTAAGTGGCGACACCCTCGCTCGCGTTTTTAGGTGATTTGGGTTTGACGGGGCGCCGAACCGCGGCCGTGAAGGCGCTTCCTTTGCCTGAGAAGCCCGCCCTTCGGCCCGTCCTCCCAGCTGCAGCGCCCGGGGACGCCTGGGCTCGCACCGACATTAACCTTCCCCTGTTAACAAAATAAATAAATGTTGGGACAAAATGAAACGCGGTTAAATGGGAAAATGCGCCCCTGTCCTTGTAATTTATATAGGAGTAACATGTCAGACGCGCCGGCTGTTATGTAGCTGGTAATAGCTGAATGGATGTTCTGGAGGCGGCGGCGGCTCCCCCTTTAAACAGCGCCCGGGAGCGGTGATGCTGGGCGGGTGACGCACGCCCAGCCGTCAATGTCAGCCCCGGATCCGAGCCCTGCACGTTTTTTGCAGTGGGTTTTGTCTCCGTTACCTGATGGGGGACTGGGTCGGGGATTTATGGACTTAACCTTCACCGACCGTCGCGGACAATGTCTGGTGCAGTCGGATGCACGCAAATAGAAGCTGACGGTCTGCAGGGTGGTTATTCGTTCTCGGATGGGTATAAAAATGATACCCTGCGTCTTCTGTCCCCGCACCCCCTCTCTGTCTTTCTCTGTAGGTTCGGCTGCGGTTGCAGCCAGGAGAGAAGAGAAATATGCCGTCTCCAACCTTCTCCCTGGATGCCCAGTTGAGGTTTCACAATAAATGGCTGAAAATAGATTTGCAGGTTAGCAGTAAACTCGCCTTCACACAGCACGGTGCCTTCAGATGCCTTATTAAAAACTTTAGTTTAGTGTTACGGTTTGTTTTATGTATGTGTTTGTATTACGATCTCTAATGGTTCACTGGTGTCTGCCACCACCTGATGTGTTTGTGTGATTTGTGCGTTTTTAAAGATGTTTCTCCGCCTGTCTCCTGGACTCTTTTTAATGGCTGTACGCCCATTTGTGCCTAGCTCTGTGTCCTATGGCTACCTACAGTTCATGGCATTCAGAGCTGTATATCAGTACTGAAACACCCAAGTTTATATGGGCTCGTTGCATCCTGAGCTCTCATACTTGTTGTTTAGAGTGGCTGGTTTTGCTAGTGGATCAATAAAATCCTTTCCCATCTGCTGAGCTATGAGCCTAATTTGATATTTTTCTCCACTTCCTCGAAATGATTGAGTGGTTAGAATTTGATCCTATAAAAGATATCACTGCAGACTTGTTGAATTGACGTGCTTCAGCTGTAAAAGGGTCTTTGCTGTTTGCTGCTGGAAGGCATTGGGCCAACTTGTCAGGTCATAAACCATTACCACAGAAATGCATGTACCTCGCTGAGCTGGTAATCAGTGATTAACAAAGGGAGACCTAGCTGCAAAAGCTTAACTTAATATCTGACATTTCAAGACTAGTTGATTCAGAGTTGAAATACAGTTGAATGGTGTTTGTTTCTGTTTTTAGAAAGCATGAATGATGCAATCTGCTTCTTTTGAGCAGTGGTGCAAGACTTGCTTATTCCTAGACGAGTAAACAGTTGCAGTGTTACGGAATTACAGATCCGTCGCAAATCATGATTCTGTGATAGTTCCTGAATTATTGCACGTTTTTAATCTGACTTCCTGGTGTTAATGTCACATGGGGTTGTGTGAAGGAATAATCTCAAAGCAGTGTGTGTTACAGCTATTTACTTGGCGATTCTTCTCTAATCCTGACAGTCTCAAATTCCAAGTTTAGGAAAAGGAAACACTCATATGAAGAACAGACAAGTCCGGGTACCATAGTAGTGGCTCTTCAGTACTGTGGACAGCTCTAGGGAAGTTGTGAGCCATCGTTTCTATGTCTGGAGCAGAGTGCTGGCTGGTCTAATGTAGTGTTACTGAACGCCTGGCTCTCCTCTGTCTCCCTTGCAAGGCCACTGCTTTCCATTTACTGAACGCCTGTGTTTGCTTCTCAGTTTCTGCTCAGCTGGTCGTCCAGAGGAACATCTTGTGCCTGTGGTTTCAAAAGACTTGTGACCTACTATTGCTGAAAGATGCTGAAATGCTGTTGTAGCCATATTTAGACCACTGTCAATGAAAGTCCGTCTAACTGCCTCATGCACAGGTGTGACGTTTCTGGTGTCGATAACATGAGAAATTAAACACGATATTTGAAACTGGAGTGTTTGGCAGCTTATTCATGGCTGGCAGTGAATAAGCATTGCCCTCCCCCACTCTGTCTGTGTCCTGATGTGTCAAGGTAAATACAAACAAAATGATCTCCATTTTTTCGTGGTGTTTTCATTTGGGAAGTTACCAGGATTTATGGTCTTTTTGGGAATGGCCATTTTGCGGAAATTGAACATTTTAGGAGAAAGATAGTGCTGGAAAAAGTCTCTTCCATATTCCGACTTCTGTAAGTATCGGTCTTGGGTAGGAAGCTGTGTAGTTCTTAGTTTAAACTGTGTTCCTAAATCGCAGTAAACAGGGGTTTGTTAATGTGGAGCTGAACGAATGGTCTGTGTGTTAATTTTGGGGGCGGCTGCCCAGCTCTGACGCTGCTATTCTCATGGAGCTGGTAAATTCACATAGTCAGTTGGAGGGCACGAGGCATTGTTCCTCCACACTGAGGAGAATGGCAGCATTTTATTCTGTCTGTGTGTGTGTGTGCGTGTGTGTGCGTGTGTGTGCGTGTGTGTGCGTGTGTGTGCGTGTGTGTGCGTGCGTGTGCGTGTGTGTGTGTGCGTGCGTGTGTGCGTGCTCGGCACACTCTCCCAAGGCCGACGCTCACGGTGGAGCTCCTGTTAATGATGTGTTAATAGAATGTGAGGAGAGGCAGTGGTGGCTGTGGCAGTAAATCGCTATATAGCCCAACCTGCGCCGACAGCTGACATTCTGCACTCCACCTTTGTCATTTGTCACACCTGTTCTGTAGGCATGGATTACAGTGGGACCTCCCACCACCCCCCAAAAAAAAAAAGTGTCAGTGTTGATAACATTTTTTTCTGCTGTGTCCTCTAAAAGGGATTTTGTAATCATGTCACCTTTTGTGACAGCATAGCTCCTCACGCTAGCGTGACGGGTGCTGCGCTGGCCTGACCGCAGATGCTGTGTTTCAGCGTGCCTTCTCTCCGGAGGGCCTGAGTGAGATGTGGAACGAGATGGTGAAGGATGAAGAGATCACACGCGGCGGGGAGGAGTCCGCACATCCCGGTGAGTGAGCCGGAGCTGGACCGCGGGCGGGAGCCTTTAAACCTCTGGCCAGATCCCCATCGGTCAAAACAAACTTATAGCACTTGTGGCTGCAGGATTGCAGCCAGCAGAAGGAGGACAGGAATGATTCCTTGTTTTAAATCACTTCACGGTGCGGTGATCCAAGTTTATAATGGGGATGGAGTAAGAAAAGCCTCAGACTATTGAACTGACAGGAGGCTGCAAAGCGACTGCTTTGTATTTGAGCAAAGAAATCATTTAAAATGTGTAACGCAGAAAGGTCAGCGGGGCACGTGGGCTTAGCTGCCGGCCGCCGCACGGTGCTCCTGCCTCAGATTAGATATTCAATATCTAGAATGGTCCGTTGTTTCGTGAGCCGCTCGATCTGGGCCTCTCTGTGTCCATCGCAGAAGACTGTGCAGACTGCTTCGGTGGTCAGAAGAAGGATGAGTCCAATGACAGAGAGAAGAAGGAGGAAGACGAGGCGTCTGCACCGGTGCACCACTCCATCATCGAGGCGTGGGACTGGGGCCGGCAGCCAGGTGGGCTGCGCTTTGCCTTTCACACTCATCTTTGTTTTTGATCTTTATTTTTTTGTTCTTTGCCGACTGTGTGGGGGGGGGGGCTGTGCATGCCGTTTGAAGGTTAGTTATGTTTGTGCTGCCATATTTATGCACTACAGGGATGTTTGGGTGTGGCCCCGCCCTGCTGGGGGGAGATAAGCGGCCCCTGGTTTGGGGGGGGGGCGGGTTGTACATGTTGACACAACATGCTGCGTCCTGGGGAGATGAATCAGCTGTGTGGTAGTGGGCATCATGCAATGATGGTGATGATGATGATTTTAAGGAATCTGAAAACGCCCGTTAAGCCGCGTGAGACCGAACTGGGAGTTTGCTGTT